CAGGTCCTAATAGCTTAGTATCTGTTTGTACCCCTTAAAAAAATGCATAAGTACATGTGAGACCCATATTTKAATTATTTATTGTGATTATTTTTTAACATTTTATGGATATTGAAGCAAACTGTTATCTACTCAGTATTTAAAAAACTCAAACCCAACCCTAAAATACCCTGCATTGCTTCTTTTTATAGTCTTATRTTCAAATTTCTTTTTATTATCACTCCCATTTTACAAAAGACTTTACATGAACTAAAAGTGAATCTAAATGAGTGCTACACRATGAAAAAATAGAACAGAACATACCCCCTTATTGACAAATGCAATTATCTTCTACGCTTAAATTAGTCCTATTCCTTACTCTTCAAAGTGATACTTAAAAATAGCAACATTAAATATAACTTCAAGTTGACAAGTATCCATTTATTTATAATAAATAGCAAACAAAATCTTCAGTTTTAATTATGATTTTCTTGCATAATATTTTCTTAAATGCTGAAATTACACTTTGTATTTCAATTATATCACTTCCCTACAGAGCACTGCGGCTTTCCTACCTTTGTTTGCTTAGTTATAGAACTGCATAGCATGCTCAACACAGTAAATTGAAAAATGATTGTGGATAAAAAGACTATTAACCCAGGCATGCTTCSACACAGATATATTTTTGAGAGGAAAAAGGAAATATTTCCATAGTTAGTATTTGTTTTTCCCCAGAACCTGAGAGATGCAAGAATTGTTATTATATTTTTAATTGTGGAATATATTGCATACAGAATAATATAATTAATATAATATAATTAATATAATATAATTAATATAATATAATTAATATAATACAATACATATTTCTGTTTAATATTTCTTCTATAGTGCATACCAAAGTATACGAAATACCATTTATAAATAAAATGTAAGGACACAATTGAAATTTTGTATAATTATGACAATATTGTCTTTGTTGCTCCAAACAAAATCCAAGAAAGTACTGAAAAAAGTTTTCATCCATTGGAAAGCTTTTCTAGGGTTTTACAGGTAAAGGGCCCCATCTGTACTGAGCATGCTTTCTTTATTCCAGGACTGCAGGAATGAAGTGGCTCTTTCCCCTCAATTCTTTCTCCTCAGTCCTGCCTANGAGCTTGTGATTAAGGAAATAATCAGGGTGGCATGAAACCAAGTTCAGAAGAGAATGCCAGAAAAATGTGAAGTTAGGAAAAAAGAAGCACAATGTAATGTGGAKAAAGGAAAAGAGTCAGACAAAAGGTGAGATTGGAGGGAGGAGGAAGAAAGTAGAGGAACTGGGACAGATACACAGAGGTACACAGTAAGGGAGGGTCCAGAGAAAAGGGAGTTCATGGCGAAAGGAAATTCTCCTTCCAATATTGGAAATGAACACAAAGAGTCCTGACATTTGCCATGACTTGTCTGCTATTAACTCTTTCTTGAACTATTTCTGAAGCCTGTYACCCTGCAATGACTGATTCACAAYATGTTCCTACYGCTGCATTTGTGTTGTAGGGTTATATATTGTGGTAGATCTRAAAGTTCTGAACTGTTGTGTGATAATTGAGCTGAATACATTAAACTGTAAGATATGACAACTCTATTTCTTGCYTCTTCTTTCCTTTCTCTTAAAACACCTCTGCTTTAGTTATATGTTAAGAGTGCAAAGTAGATACAGGAAATGTCAGAATTAAGGTTGCCTTTGCAATATGATTCAATAACACAATCAGAAAAATATCATGGTCCAGTCTTGAACTAAGTAATAGTCTGTGGATTTTAGTTTTGTTTTTAATGTTCATCACCTTGGACAGATGAACCAAGGAAAAGTCATTAGTGAGAATGTCACCGGTAAATCCTTGATTTCATTTATTGCAAAAATGGAAATATAGGAAATGAGCAATAGTAGGCAGAGGATAGCTGGGAAAGAATGCATAATCATTGTTCAAAACGTGTATTTCTGTTCTTGTTTTGGGGTAAATCCTTTAGAATATATAATTCCAAAATTATGTGTTGCTCATATTACAAATATTCAGCTTGATATTTCAGCCTATGAGCAAAACTGAATTCAACAGCAACAGTTACTTGATTATACCTGAATACATTTGCCAAAAATGCAAATTATCATGAAAAATTAGGTTCTTGATACTTAGCAGTTAAGCAATAAGTCATCTCAATCTGTCTTTGAGTCTGTTTCCCAGCTATCAAATTGTAATACTCCAAATTTCACTTGCTTGCAGGAATGCTCTGAAGATGGAGCAATTGATGTTTGCAATGAGCACAAAACTGCAGCGACAAGTGCAGCAGTGTGGTCTCCCAAGAAATTAGATGTTTGTTTCAGCACCAAAAAAAACCCAAAAAAAACAAAATGCCTAGATTGTAACAAAATGACATAATGAGTGAATTCTTAYCAAATGAATTATGTCAAATGGTGCTTTGAATAATGTATACATTTGATGGGAAGGAAGGAAGGATTCTGGGATAACAGACCTCATAATATGTATTCACTTCC